ATTTTCATTTCATCTCGCCTGTAATGCCTGATAAAGCAGCGTTTGTGAGCGCAGTGCTGCTTTTTGTACAGCGTTACCAGGGAAACCGCTATTTTTACCGCTCCAAAAGCCGCACCTAGTGGCAAAGAATGAATTTGCATTTTCATTCAGACCAATGCGAAAAGATCAACAAGTGGGCGGGCAATATGCTAATGTTTCATGTTGATGTCAACATGAAACGGATTGGGATTCGTTTTAAAAACGACTCGTTTAAAGTTTAAGTTGTTTCTTTTGAGAGACAATAACTTTATACACGGTGCACTTTCAGATTTAAAGGGTTAGTTCACCCAAAAATTAAAATTAGGCTGTGTTTTACTCACCCCAGAGCCATCAGGTGTATATGACTTCCTTCTTTCAGGCGAATCCAGTCAGAGTTATATAAAAAATTGTTAAATAAAATCGCCCATCCATTAAAAAAAAGTGTCTCACACGGCTCCGGGGGGTGAACAAAGGCCTCCTGTAGCGAATCGATGCTCTGGGGTGAGTAAAACACAGCCTAATTTTCATTTTTGGGTGAACTAACCCTTTAAAACTTTGCAGGATGTTTTCATTCACTTAGAGCTGTGTTACACACTGCATAAAAGGTCATTTTCAAAAATTCATAATAGGGGCACTTTAATATCAATGGTGAAAACAGTTGTGCTGATTAATATTTTTGTGTAAACTGTGATACATTTTTTAGAATTCTTTGATGAATAGAAAAATTGAAATAGAAATCTTTTGGAACATTATAAATATCTTTACTGCCACTATGAATATAATTCGTCCTTGTTTAATAAATATATTACTTTTTTTCCAAAAAAAAAAAATCGTACTGATCCCAAAATCTTGAACGGTAGTATATTGGCATTATCTACTTGTGTATGTACCATAAAAGTAGCCCGTAGAACTTACTGCAGAAAATTCCAATTCGTTTTTCATGTCTGATCTTTAGAACTCCCTGTCCTCACAGTCATTTTGCAAGTGATGAAATATGATTTGTTTGTTCAGTATAGTCAGTTTCCAGTGTATCTTATTCAGTTGCTTTAGTAATAAAGTCATTATCAGCACAATGCAGAGAGGCTTTCTTCTGCAACAACTGAGAGTAGCTGTCAGTGGAAAGAGAGGATGGAAAACTGGAAGTTTTGCATGACATCTCGCCGAGGTGCAGAATTCGTGAGGCGCTTGAGACAACGTAAACAACATTTATGCATATACTGTGTCTAAAGCTGCTAACTGGTTCACTCATTTTTATTGACTACATTGACTATACAATAATGTCATATTGTTGGCTATACAAGAAAAGAGTGAGTGTAATTTGTATTGTAATAAAAATGTAACATCCAAAACACTGGGGGGAAAAAAATTCTATATGACTGTTCAGACTGAGATGCATTCAAAATTGCTTTTAATCATATTTTAAACCACACACTATAAAAATATCAGATGTGGGAGCTGTGAAATTCAATGTAGAAAATACAGTGACAATGTCTCAGGTATTACTGTATGACATATAGAATGGTGCAGGTACGACGTCAGAACCCGGAAAACTAATTCGCTGCTGGTTCCTTCGAGATTTATGAAATAAATAAAGCCTGTGGTAAACATAACATGATGATATTTTTTATATTAATAGTACATATGATGTGATGTTAAGCCATTTTTAGTTTAAATTTTCAGCTCACCAATTAACAGGTTTTTCCTGTATAAAATAATTTTTAAAAAAATTACAGTACATTTGGATGTGACTTGAACCTTGTTTGTAAACACCTTATTTCCTGTGGGGATTTTTTTTTTAACATTTCATTTATGTTTAATTTACATTTCAAACTACAAAAACTTCCAAACTCGATAGGTTCCCACATTTATTGTGATCATGCCAAGAGCTAGCTTAAGTTAACTAAACCTCTCTTCAGATAAGGCTACAGTTTTCTGCTTTCTTGGCTTTGCTGAATATCTGGCTATGGGAAAACATTTGAACTCGTAGCTGAAAAGAAAATGTAAATAGCACATTAGAGGCTTTGAAGTAATCGACCTTTGCTGTAGCAGAATCACCTCTCACTATGTGGTCTGAATGAAAATGCTAGTCCTGTATTCATAGTGGACTTGGAAGCTTTGACTGTAAAGAGCTTGAATGTGGCACCGCAGTCCCAGCGGACTGATCAGATTTCTTGGATAATGTGGGAGAGCCGTGTCCGGATACGGGCTGACAGTGCACTGATATGCTTAGCTGTTCGAGTCAGCGCAGATGAAATGTATCGAGAGCTGGAAGTGAGCCTTCCATCAGGAGTCACCCTGCTGTTTCTGCATCAGCTGTCCGATTCAATTTACCACGCCTCTGTAAATGGAGACGGAAAGAGATACCTTTAGGATGGAGGAGATGGATGTTGAACTTCACATTGTCATATGCAGTTGCATAGGGCCTCACAAGCCCCAGGCAAGATTCAGAAGATTCAGTAGGTGAGTCAGTTCAGAAAATTTGCTGACAGATTTAGCGAGTTCATCTGGTGAAAGATTCATTAGACTGATTTGTGATTCAATAACTTGTGAGTTTGAGCAGTTTTATTAAAAGCGCTAACTCATAGGATTTGTGTGTTCATGAATGGCACTACATTGGTTGTGCTGTGTTTGTTTTTTCATACAACCAGATAAAATGTGTTGTCTTTCGTATTATTTCACAATATCTGGGCTGTATAACTGAATTATATTCAATTCTGACTGGAATATCACATCTCAGAGAAAATATGGGGCAATATGGACAGATAATGGATGTTTTGTGATAAATGATGGGTCCTGTGTTTGGGTTCTGTTGGGATGTGAGCCAGATGAGTGGCCAATCATTGTGGTAATCTGGTCAGTCAGCAGGCATCTCCACAATTTCTCATAATGAGAGTAACTGATGCCAGCATATTTTCTATTAGGCACTTATACCAGGATAGTCCATGTTACATGACCAACTGTCTGATCGTATGTGCAATGTCATTGCGTTCAACCTTATAGCAATTGTAAACTTGAAAACAAGCAAAAGGATTGTATAATTGATCAATAATTAGATTGTATCTTTCTTTGTTCTTCTCCAGCACAGAACTAAATGAGAATGTGTGTACAGTAGATTAGAGGAGTAGCTCCCTGTGATTATCTTGTGTCTCTTCCTGTCAATCATTATCTTTAGGCTTTTATGTAGCAGTATTATACATACATAAAGTATACATACTTTAAGTTTTTAAGAAATGTTTCTTGAGTGGCAAATTGGCATATTCGAATGATTTCTGAAGGATCATGTAACATTGAAGACTACAGTAATGATGCTGGAAATGTAGCTTTGCCATTACAGGAATACATTACATTTGAAAATATATTTAAAAAATAAAATGTTCATTTTAAATTATAATAATGTTTCATAATATTACAGTTTTTTTCTAGGGATGCATTACTGGAACGTTATCGGTTATGGAAAAATTATGCCGATATGCTGTATGATATGACTGTATTTTCTCTTCTGGTCTCATCTTAAGACCGAATTCTTATTAAACAAAACCCAGCCATGTAAGTAGCTGTGCAATGTGTGATGTAGCTGTGTGTGTGTGGAAGTGTTAAAGATGTTTGTGTAGTCAACTCATCCCTCGCTCCTCAGCTCCTCATAGGGCGGCCCCCATGGTAACATTCTCATGGGGACTTTGCATTTGCCAGCCCTCGTTCTTGTTTGTCACATCAGCTTTCTGCGTCCTTTTTAACCTCACCTGAGCTACGGTGAAGTACCTCTACACCTGCAGCAAAAAAATGAAAACTATTGGATAGGAGTCTTCGTTTCATTACAAGAATGTGTTAATATCCTGATATGCTCTTGGGATACTCCTTCAAGTGGATCTTTAGTTGTTTTTCGTAGGTATAAACTCTCTTTGTGGAAGCAGTGAGATTATGGAATTTGTCAGATTATATAATAAATATTGCTTTGACTACGGTAAAGAAGTTGAAAATGGTTATTGTGTGTGTTTATATAAAATGAAATGATTGTTTTTATCTGAATCACTCACTCTCTTACGTTTGACTGCCTCCCTGTGGCCGTGCTCTGTAATTGATTTTTCTTTTACTAAAAGGACCTCAAAGTTCATAGGAGATTATAATCAATCTCTCTGAGCCAAAACTATTTGTCACAGTTCTCATTTGCATATCAAATCTCCTGTGGCTGAGGACACTGTGTACTGAAATATCAGAATCGGAAGAAAGGATGTAATTATTATTAAATGATCTGGCTGAATCTTGAGTAATTGAGTTAAAGTTTCTGTTATTTCTGTGTGCTGTTGTAGGTCACGGGGCCTGACCAAATTGAAGGAGTCCTGTTCCCATGAGTCTCTACTGAGTCCAGGCAGTGCTGTTGAAGCTCTGGATCTGAGTATGGAGGAGGACGTCTACATCAAACCTTTACACAGCAGCATTCTAGGACAAGACTTCTGCTTTGAGGTACAAAGCATTATTCCCTTAAAATGTCATATCCAGTAAACACAATTAGTAAGGTCTTGGTAAAGTCATGGAAATTGGTCAAAAAGAGTGGGAACCTGTTTGACATACCATGATATATGAATATGTAACAGTGTTGCATTGCTCTTTTGTAAGTATCTGATTAATGAATAAATGTAAATGCAATCAAACTTTACCATAGTATAACAAGACACTATCAGTAAACCACGGCACAACCACAGAATATTTTGGAAGGGTTATATTGAATGCAGTTCACTTCTTCATAACCTATGGTTTAAATGAATGATTTACTTTATGAATGAAGTCCCTCTCCTCGTGTAGGTGGCATACTCAGGTGGAAGTAAGTGCTTCAGCTGCTCCTCTGCTGCTGAACGGGACAAATGGATGGAGAACCTCAAGAGAACTGTGCAGCCTAATAAGGTGACCACCAGATGCTGTTTTTTGTTGTTGTTGTTTTTTAATCGATACAAAAGCATGCGTGCTTGTTTTATACTTAAAATGAACTGCTGTGGGTTCAATCAGTGTCATTCCATCACCAGGACAACTGCCGACGGGCGGAAAACGTCCTCCGTCTGTGGATCATCGAGGCCAAAGATCTGCCACCGAAAAAGAAGTATTTCTGTGAGCTGTGTCTGGATGACATGCTGTACGCCCGCACCACCAGCAAAACCCGCTCTGACTGCCTGTTCTGGGGGGAACACTTTGAGTTCTCCGGTGTGCCGTCCATTAAGAGCATCACTGTACACATCTACCGTGATGTTGACAAGAAAAAGAAGAAGGACAAAAACAACTATGTGGGCCTGGTGAACATACCAGTGCAAGGAGTGATGGGAAGGCAGTTTGTGGAGAAATGGTATCCGGTCAGCACCCCCACCACCAGCAAATCCAAAGGTGGAGGCCCCTCCATCCGCATCAAATCTCGCTTCCAAACGGTCTCTATCCTGCCCATGGAGCAGTACAAGGAGTTTGCGGAGTTTGTGACCAATAACTATACCATGTTGTGCTCTGTGTTGGAGCCCGTCATCAGTGTGAAGAACAAAGAGGAGATGGCCAGCGCGCTTGTGCACATACTGCAGAGCACGGGACGAGCGAAGGTACGATGCCAGTTAAGTTCTCATTTACATAAATTTGCCATAAATCACTTGTTTATTAATAAAACCTGACTGAACTGCTTTCATTAGGACTTCCTAACAGATCTGGTGATGTCTGAGGTGGATCGCTGCGCTGACCATGACGTGCTGATCTTTAGGGAGAACACGCTAGCCACCAAAGCCATTGAAGAATACCTCAAATTGGTGGGACAGAAGTACCTACATGATGCACTAGGTAAATGAAACATTTGTCTTACTGTATTAAGAGAGGGAGGAGAAAAGTTTGCTCATCAAGGCTTGTGTATCAAGAAGACCCTTTACTATATGCTTGTTTTTGCTTTGTAGGAGAGTTTATTAAAGCCCTTTATGAGTCAGATGAAAATTGCGAAGTAGACCCATCGAAGTGCTCCAGCAATGAGCTTCCAGAGCACCAAAGTAACCTAAAGATGTGCTGTGAGCTGGCCTTCTGCAAGATCATCAACTCTTACTGGTAACTTTTTCAATTCCTAAAACTTGACATAATTTATGTAAAGCATAAACTTCAATAGTAGCTAAGAAGAAATTTGAATAACAACAAAAACAAAGAAAAGAATATATGCAGGGTTCACGGTAATTAAAACTTTTTCCTTTCAGCGATTTTCTTGTGAGCAATCTCCATTAAATGTTTTTAGACATTCTTCTTCAGAATTTATGAGCAATTGGAAAAGTCTTAAACTGTTTTTCAAGACTTTATAAATTCAGATTTTACACTATCGTTCAAAAGTTTGGGGTCAGTAAGAATTTTTTTTTTTTTAAAGAAATTACTTTTATTCAGTAAGGATGTACTAAATTGATCAAAAGTGATCATTAGAATTTTTATAAAGTCACAATTATAAAGACAGTTATAACAATGTACAAAATTTATATTTCAAGTTCTTATGAACTTTCTATTTTTATTTACTTTCTATTCAAAGAATCCTGACAAGAATGTATTATGGTTTTCACAAAAATATAAAGTTTTCAACATTGATAATAATAAGAAATACTGATTTCTGAAGGATCATGTGGCACTGTAATGGCTGCTGAAAATTTAGATTTGCCATCACAGAAATAAATTACATTTTAAAATATATATATATATAAAAAAAAAAAAAAAAGCTTATTTAAATTGTAGCAATATTTACAGACTCTGTGAGCGTAAGAAATGTCTTTCAAAAACATGATGAATAATTGCCGACCCCAAACTTTGAACAGCAGTATATGTTTATGCAGTTCACAATGTTTCTACTGGTAACTACAAATACAACTATATTGCTCTTCTTTGTAGTTTGTTCATATGCTCATGTTTGCAATCGCATTAGTTACATCCTAACCTGCATATATATATATATTAAAAAAAAAAAGCTTATTTAAATTGTAGCAATATTTACAGACTCTGTGAGCGTAAGAAATGTCTTTCAAAAACATGATGAATAATTGCCGACCCCAAACTTTGAACAGCAGTATATGTTTATGCAGTTCACAATGTTTCTACTGGTAACTACAAATACAACTATATTGCTCTTCTTTGTAGTTTGTTCATATGCTCATGTTTGCAATCGCATTAGTTACATCCTAACCTGCTGCTGTGCTCTTGTCAGTGTGTTTCCACGGGAACTGAAGGAAGTGTTTGCATCATGGAAGCAGCAGTGTCATGCTCGAGGGAAGCAGGACATCAGTCAGCGTCTGATTAGCGCATCGCTCTTCCTGCGTTTCTTGTGCCCTGCCATCATGTCCCCTTCGCTCTTCAATCTCATGCAGGAATACCCAGACGACCGTACCTCTCGAACACTCACCCTCATTGCCAAAGTCATCCAAAATCTTGCTAACTTTGCCAAGTATGTCAGAAACACTCTTCATACAGTACACAATGCTTACTTCATAAAATTCTAAATATTAAATAGTTTCAGGATTTTGAAAGTGAAAATGGGAATTTGAGTCAAAATTATGGAAATCAGGTTAACTGTTTACATGACACTAACATAATTCTCATTTAATGTTATGTATTAATATTATAATTTTCTTGTGTGTGCAAATGCAGTCATCGTGAAACTCCAGTGCCTGTCTGAGTTTCTTATGCATTTCTTGTTCTCTGTTACATCAGATTCGGAAACAAAGAGGAGTACATGGCCTTCATGAATGACTTCCTAGAGCACGAGTGGGCTGGTATGACTCGATTTCTGCTTGAGATCTCAAATCTTGAGACCATCTCCAACACCCCGGGCTTTGAGGGCTACATCGACCTGGGCCGTGAGCTGTCGGTGCTACACTCGCTACTGTGGGAGGTGGTGTCTCAGCTGGACAAGGTACTGAAATCCCTCCAAACCATTATACTGCAACAATACCTCTTACAATGAAATCTGCCGTAGGCTTAAGTCTGGTTTTAGAGAGATTTACAACAGCTGAGCATCAATTTGTTCAAGAGGCGTGACAGTGGGGGGGGTAAAAACGCACCTGCCTACCAGAGATGTTATGTAATCCTCTTGCACTCAGTAATTTCTTTTCATTAAAAAGTTTTAGACAGAAATAAATAGGACTTACACAACATAAACAAATGCAACATGAATGGTACTCAACAAATTATTATATAATTATTATGAGTGCCCACGTCTCAAAATCAGGAAGCACGTTTCATACCTCAGAGGTATTGCCGCAAATGTCTTCTGTTGAGCTGTGTGCTTCATGTCAGTAATGCTTTATCCCCACTAAACATTGTAAGGTTCTAGCTGATTTTAAATGTTATCACCAACCTGATACTGCAGTACATTGAACGGCTGTGTGTGACCAAAAAAAAGCTTTGCACTTGTTTGCAGGGTTAATGTCATAACTCATTGTCTAGGTTAAGTTAGCGTCAAGGTTAATGCCCCTGTTTAAACTGGAAGAGTCTGTTTAATGACATTGGACACAGCGCATTCACGCATCCCCACACGTCCTTTGCCTAACTCTTGCTGACCTGTTGCGTCTGGAGCATGGTTTTGTTTTGACTGCAATTAAAACCTCCCTGCACAATATTTTTGTTTCCTGCCATGAGTTAATTCATCAAAACCTTTCTTTTATCTTATCTCAGACCTAACCTTCTGTTGTTGTTTGGTGCATGGCCTGCATTTGACCATTTTTACCTCGTTTGTTTCTGTTTGTGGCTTTTGTCATTTTTGTAGAAGCATGTGTTTGTTTTTTCTTTCATTTATCCCTAATTTGACTTTTTTCCTTTTGTTTTCTCCTCTGTTTACCCATGCCACTATCCATTCCACCCTTTCCTGTCCGACACACTGTGTCTCCATGGTTACGCCGTTCTACCATCAATGTATTATGGTGCCTACTATCTCGACCAACAAAAATTTTTTAAAAACTCCTGCCAACCCACCAATCTGCCATCTGCACCCTCAAACTCTCGGGCTCCGTGTGGGTGCCCTCTGTGGTCCATAATGTGGTTACCATGGTAACGCACCAACCCAGGGTGACAATTCCTTCCTGCAGGCGACGGTGGCCAAACTGGGGCCCCTGCCACGTATTCTTGGCGATATCACCCGCTCGTTGTCCAGCCCCAACCCCATCCAGCAGCAGCTTAGGCGCTTCCAGGACCATAGCTCCGCTCATGACATCAGTGGAAGTGTGTCCTCAGGACTGCAGAGAATATTCGAAGACCCAGCAGACAGGTAGGACATTGTTGGATTTCATAATTTTCTCTACTTTATCTATGACTCTTGTGCTATATTCCAAATCATCTAAAGCCATAATTGTTTGAGCAACAGACTGAAATTATTTGGTTGTTATTCCAAAATTATAGTAGTTACTCACTCATCCACAAGTTCAAACTTGGTGCATTCCCGAAAGGAGAAGAACATCATTGGTTCTCACATGTACGGTAAAAGTGCCAGGTTTGAACTTGTGGAAACATGAACATTGTAAAGGGCTATTTCTGGTTAAAAACGCAATGTAATGGATGTAGCGACATATCTTTTCTTCTGTATTGTGACGTACATCCGAGTGAAGCAGATTATCAAAAAGAACAAAAAAAGTTAGGGTTGGAACTCTGTCATTTCACCAGATGATTTAGTTATGCAATGTTGATGATAAATTAAGAGGTCAAAAAAAAAGAATCATAAGCATGGCTGAATCGTTCACAATAGATTGTGCATTTAGAAAGTAGATTTCATTTCATGCCAACTTTAAATGTTGAAAACATGTGGTGATTTGCATTTATAGCTCTGCATTGGTACATTATCTTTGTTCTAGTACACAGCCAAAACACTAATCAGTTTTTTCTCCAAAGATCACATTTAGAATTGGTATATCCGGTTAATAATGGATAAATTGATTAAAGCCCCTGTCCTACATTTTTTTTTCTTTTTTGATAATCCATTTCACTCAGTTGTACATCACAATTCAGAGGAAAAGATCTGTCCCAACTTCTGTTTCGTCGCAAATTTTAAAAGGCTTCAGAACAGATGGCTGGCAAGCCTACTTATATTTCTCTGAGAAGGCCAATTGGTATCGGACAAGGAAAGACCACAATGCATTGTAAAACCAAAGTATGAATGAACATTACATTAGCACAAGTAACTTTCCAAAACCGCTGAGACTTGGACCATTAAAATAAAATGTGCAATATTATGACTGTGTTATTCTCATATATTCATTCTCGTGTATCTTGTTCCTCAGTGAAATGAGGAGCATCAAATCTCCTGTCCAGGAGCACATGGAGGCCTTAGTCCGAGGGAAGCATCCTTTATTGGGTCAGCAGTCCTCCACTCACAGCATGAGCTTCTCTGACAAAGAGGAGCGAGACAGTCCACTCCCGAATGGACGCAGTATATCTCTAATGGACCTGCAGGACTCTTACTTGGCACAGGGGCATCCGGGTCCTAACTCTCTCAATGAAGCCCCACCTAGATTAGGCCGAGTGGGCTCTCAGGCCTCCATCGGCCCTGTCCCCCCTCCACACCTCCACCAGCCTCCCGTCCATCCGAAAGTTCCCCAGCTAAGGGACAACTTGCCTCAGAGTGCCCCACAGGTGCGGCGCCCTATACACCCCTCCCTCAGCCAGCAGCGCAGCCTGCAACCGCTGTCTTTCCAAAACCCTGTTTACCACCTCAGTAACCTGCACGCACAATCCACGCACTCAACCCAGTCCACGCACTCCGCCCAGTCCCTGCAGCCAGACTCCAGCTCAGAGAACCTGAGCACAGGCAGCTCTCGGAGCGCCAGTCCAAGTGCGTCAGGTGGCCGGGGAGCTACTCCCAGAGCACGGATGCCTTCCACCAGCAGTGTGGAGGAAGAACTCACCCGCAAAAGCATCCAGGGCCAGGAGACGCCTCCTCCCTCGGCACGCTGGCACCCTCCCCTTGCAGACCAGCACTCGGGAGCCCAGGTTGTGGTGGTACCGAGGCAGAGCAGCACAGGTACGGCGCATATCGTGAAGGTGGAGATTTTTGGCATAAAAGAAAAATCGATAATTTTGACCCATACAATCAATTTATTGTTGGCTATTGCTACAAATATACCCGTGCGACTGGAGACTGGTTTTGTGGTCCAGGGTCACAAATTAAAAGGTCAAAAGAAAGAAACGTATGCATGGATGAATCATTCACAATAGATTGTGCATTTAGAAGGTAGATAGGGTGAGTTTCCCTTTCATGCCATTTCATTTGTGACGTATACCACACTTCTCCAAAGATTTAGAACTAGTTTATCCAGTCAATAATGGATGAATTGAACCAAGTCCCGTCCTACCAATTTTTTTTTTCTTTTTTAGTAATCCATTTCACTCGGATGTACATCACAATACAGAAGAAAAGATCTGTCCCAACTTGCGTTTCATCGCAACTTTTAAAAAGGCTTCGGAACAGATGGCTGACAAGCCTACTTATATTTCTCTGAGAAGGCCAATTGGTATCGGACAAGGAAAGACCACAATGCATTGTAAAACCAAAGTATGAATGAACATTACATTAGCACAAGTAACTTTCCAAAACCGCTGAGACTTGGACCATTAAAATAAAATGTGCAATATTATGACTGTGTTATTCTCATATATTCATTCTCATGTATCTTGTTCCTCAGTGAAATGAGGAGCATCAAATCTCCTGTCCAGGAGCACATGGAGGCCTTAGTCCGAGGGAAGCATCCTTTATTGGGTCAGCAGTCCTCCACTCACAGCATGAGCTTCTCTGACAAAGAGGAGCGAGACAGTCCACTCCCGAATGGACGCAGTATATCTCTAATGGACCTGCAGGACTCTTACTTGGCACAGGGGCATCCGGGTCCTAACTCTCTCAATGAAGCCCCACCTAGATTAGGCCGAGTGGGCTCTCAGGCCTCCATTGGCCCTGTCCCCCCTCCACACCTCCACCAGCCCCCTGTCCATCCAAAAGTTCCCCAACTAAGAGACAACTTGCCGCAAAGTGCCCCGCAAGTGCGGCGCCCTATACACCCCTCCCTCAGCCAGCAGCGTAGCCTGCAACCGCTGTCTTTCCAAAACCCTGTTTACCACCTCAGTAACCTGCACGCACAATCCACGCACTCAACCCAGTCCACGCACTCCGCCCAGTCCCTGCAGCCAGACTCCAGCTCAGAGAACCTGAGCACAGGCAGCTCTCGGAGCGCCAGTCCAAGTGCGTCAGGTGGCCGGGGAGCTACTCCCAGAGCACGGATGCCTTCCACCAGCAGTGTGGAGGAAGAACTCACCCGCAAAAGCATCCAGGGCCAGGAGACGCCTCCTCCCTCGGCACGCTGGCACCCTCCCCTTGCAGACCAGCACTCGGGAGCCCAGGTTGTGGTGGTACCGAGGCAGAGCAGCACAGGTACGGCGCATATCGTGAAGGTGGAGCAACAGAGTCGAGGAGTGGGGCTGGCGGCAGGAAACGCAGGGCTGCGAATCCCGAGGTCGCTCCCTCACAGCACTTCCCTGCGTAGCAGCAGCAGCGTCAACACTGAACCCATGCAGCAGAGCGGCGAGAGATCCAGACAGCAGTCCACATGTTCCAAAGACAGTTCGGTTCCAGGAGGACGAGGCACCAAACAGGTAAAGGATGAGAGGAGGAAAGAGAGTTTGCTTTATCCAGACATGTTTGAACCCAAATAAAGCTTTCTTTGCATGTGTCCCTAAGGTACAGTCACCTGTAGAGTCAGTCACCATGTCCCCAGTGGAGCGAACGGCAGCATGGGTCCTGAATAACGGCCAGTATGAAGATGAGGAAGAGGAAGGACTGAGCAAAGATGATGCCAAACATGTAGAGAAGGTACAAAAAGCGATAAGGAGAAATTGCTGCAAATATGCATTAGAGTTAGGTTTTAAGAGACCCTACTCTTCTTCTCTGAAGTACGAACAGGAAATCTCGAAGCTGAAGGAGCGTCTGCGGGCGTCTAGTCGGCGACTGGAGGAATATGAGAGGCGGCTGCTGGCACAGGAACAGCAGATGCAGAAACTGCTCTTGGAATACAAGGCTCGATTGGAGGACAGCGAAGACCGTCTGCGCAGACAACAGGAGGAGAAAGACAGCCAGATGAAGAGTATTATCTGCAGGTGAGTGTATGAACCAGCAGAGTATGACCGAATTTACAGTATATATTAAGGAGTGAGAATCTTACACTTTTGGTTGCAAACCTCAAAATACAGTCTAAACATTTAGTAAACGTGAAGTAAAATCCTTTTATATCTGTACATTTGATGTTTAACAATTTAGAGGTCAATATAATGCGATACAATATAAAGGCTCTTTTTCGTTCTTTATTCATTTCTTAAAGGGGTCATATGATGCGATTTCAAGTTTTCCTTTCTCTTTGGAGTGTTACAAGCTGATTGTGCATAGATAAGATCCCTGAAGTTGCAAAGACTAAAGTCTCAAAACCAAAGAGATATTCTTTATCAAAGTTAAGACTCTGCCACGCCCCCCTAAAACGGCTCGTTCTAATGATGTGTTTAAATGTTAAGTATTTTTTTCCTTTTTACCTTTAATTTGTCTGGTTCATATTTACAACATATAAACCAAAATAAGTATCCAACTTAAAAACCTGCAATGTCAAAATTATTTGTAATTGTAAAACAGGGTTTTGTGTCATTTGTGGCTCACAGGCTGATGGCCGTGGAGGAAGAACTGAAGAGAGACCATGCAGAGATGCAGGCGGTCATAGATGCCAAACAGAAGATAATCGATGCACAGGTACTGCAGATTACCATATTAATCAGCACGATAAATGCAAGAGAACTTTAGTGAGAGTTTGGAGATCATCTTAGTCTACTGTCTGGTTGTGAGGTGCTGGCCTGTCTGTGCTGCACAGTGGTATGCTTTGAACTCCCTGCTAAACCTCAGATGGTATTAAAGCAAACAGGCTGCTGACTGGCTCATTGTTACTGTGTCCTACTGAATTCCAGGTCGCTAATGGAACTGAGGTAATACCAGCAGGCAAGTACAAGCAGACAGTTCTGCTCCTGCAGAGCAGCTAGGCTTATGTAAGCGCACCCTGATCCAACACCCATGCCTGGCCTGAACCTTTGCAACACTCAGTCCTCTAAGCTATTTTGTTTCTCTCCATTTCAGAAGATCTAATAAAACAAGGGTTAAAGGTGAAGTGTTTAATTTTTCAATGTTAAAAGATGCTCTATCCAAATTTAATACGCAGAGACGACGATAACAAAAATGTATCATAAACAAAAATGTGTAATAAGTACAAAAAACAAATGTGATATAGGATGCAAAAAGTAAGCTAACCAAAAATAAAGCAAAGAACTAGAAATGTTTAATGTTAACAAATTATAGCTTTGATTATATTTTTAATGTTACATATAATAAATAATATTTGTTATTATATGCAACATTTTTTATTAAATTTAAATGCAATTTATTTTTTTTATTCATGTTTAAAGGTGCAATAGGTGATTGTCTTCAGAAAATTTTTTTGTTATGCTGGTTGAAAGTCCCGATAGCAATCATTAAGTTAAGTGGTCTAAATGTATTTATATATTCTGTGGAAGGCGTAGGACCAAGAAATGTTCGTCCAATCAAAACGCTTGGTCCGAGCATTTTAATTGGCTTTCCTACCTGCCTGTCAACATATGTATCTGCATACCTCTGCGCACCCGGTTCGCGCACACAGGATACGTCATCAGCGCGTTCACGCACGCTGTGCACTGTGCAGACAGAGTGAGAATGGCAGACAAACATCTACAACCCGATCTTCCTTCCTGGTATTGTAGTACTTTTTAAAGTTTTCTCACCGGTGAATGACACATGATGTAGCCCAGTGGTTCCCAATTCCAGTCCTCGCGATTCAGATAACCAACAACTTTTTGTTGTGCGATATATTGCCCCAGAAATAATTGCGATAAGCGATATTATTGTCATTTTAAATACCGTTTTATGCCACTGAATATATAATCATAATGTAACAGCATAATAATGCAAGAAGGCCAACACACTTCCAAATTGCAACAAACTTAACTTTTAAGAATACTTAGATCATGGAAGTTAAGTACCAAAATATTAGATACCTTAAAAAACCTGAATAAATAGTAAACAAACATTTTCTAACAAAAAGTGCAAAGTAACAAGTAGAAAAAATAAGCCAAGAGGAGACTGGTTTTCCTTTTCTAAAGTAAAGAAACTTTGCTTCCTTTGCTCCTGTTAACAAATGTTGGTTTTCACAAGACTCACCGGTGCATGCGCAATGCTGACCTCATACGTCATCAGCCCGGAGCTGCTTCCGTGTACAACT